CTCACCAGGACGGCTCAAGGTCAGTGCTGAGCGGCTGTGCCCATCTCGGGGCAGGAGGTTGGAGACCTCACATTCCTGTGCTCAGCCTCTGCCCTGGGAGAGCAGGGATGGAGGAGCAGCAGAGGGAAAGGAACCTTAAGCTGAAGTCCCGACTAAGCAGCATTTCGTGCTGAGAGCTCAGGCAGTTCTGAATGAGAGGTTGCTTCCTTCCTAGGGACACGATACTCCAAAAGAGACGGGAGACAACAGAAATATTCCAACTCTGTGATTCCATGCATCATGGGCAGAGCTGGCCGGTGTCCCGCAGTAGCAGCACCCATCCAAAGAGGGACTCTGGTGGGACAGGCAGGGCCTTCGCACCAGCTGGACAGGAGGAAAACATTTTTAACAGTGCAATGGGTTGAAATGCTGGAATGGAGCTCCGGCCCCAGAGACCTGCAGCACTGAAAGGATGAGGCCCTGAGCAACCTCGGGAGGCAGCTCTGCTTCCAGCAGGGCTTTGACTGGTGACCTCCAGGGCTCCCTGCCAGCCTGAATCACTCCACAAGCCTATTGAAAAAAGCCAGTCTTGTGACGGGTTTCAAAGTACAGTTGGTGATTGAGACATCATGATGCCCAAAAGCTCTTTAATGCAGCAGGAAAACTGCCTTTGATTTCAATGGCTTTATTTTAGGTTAGAGGTGACCTGCTGGTGGAATTATTTCAGTGAATTATTGACCAATTCTATCACTGGGTGCAAAGTGGTGTTAAATCAGCTCTGTGCATGAAGCAGCTGCTCGGGCTTTTTGTTTTTTCTTTGCAGAAGTTGCCAGGTTCAGCAGGTCTCCCTCTTCCTCTCACTCTCACGCTAGGAGCCTTTCCTTGTGAGTAAATGAGTGATTGTTGCACAACCTTTCTCTGCAAACGAGTGTTTGAGGAGGCCTTGGCTGGATTGCACAACCCTACTTGGTCAAAGTCTTCTGGAAAACTCTTGTCTGGTGATGGGTCATGTGAGAGCCAGAGCATGAATCACAGCGTGACCATCTTGACTAACCAGGGGAGGCCACAGATCACCAGACTGGACTGCTTCTTCCCCGCCTGGGCTGCAGCATGAGGAAACCCCATGGAAAATGAATAAAATCCCATGGAGCCTTTAAAAACACCCATTTCATTCCCACATTTTGTGTGTTTTTTCTCACCACCTGAAATGTCTGATACCAGCCCAACATAGCATGGGACCCTGGGCACCAGGCTCCGGATGGGGGGCACGTGATGAACCTCTCCAGCAGTTTCCACGCTGGGGACTCTGAGCTTTGCCAGGGTCACCAAAACAACAGCATGTTTGTTCCCAAAAGGCTGTTTCTGCATGACCCCAGCACAGGAGTAGCCTGAGTCCCACCACAGAGCTGTGAGCCCGGAGAGGCAGCAGTCATCTCTCTCCTGGGTCCTCCTGGGTCATCTCCCAGCTCACGTTCCCTGACGAGGGACAGCTGTGGTCAGGCCCTGTGCCCCAGAGGTGTATGTTGAGCAATGTCACCAAAGAAGTCAGGTGCCCCAGGGCCTCTGAGCGAGCCCCGTTCTGCACCGAGCCCCAGCAGAGGGATTTCCTTCCAGGCAGCTCACCGCCAGGCACGGGAACTCGCATTACTGTCAATAATCTCTCTGAGTTTGGGAGAGCCATGGCAACCTTTGCAAATCAAATCAGAGCTTTGCAGTTGTTATGCCAAAGGAAAATGTTGCATGTGCAATTTGAGAGCCATTGTAAAAGCCCACAGAAGTTCAGCTGGCACCCCAGGCGTTTTGAAAACCAGGACCTGCAGGTCTGATTTTGGGACTTTGGTAAATTTTAGTCTTTAGTACTTTAGTAAGTACTAATTTTAGTACTTACTAAAATTAGTAAATTTTAGTGTGAATTGCAATGATTTAGTGCTGTCACCGTTTCCATGTGCTCCACTGACCAGCCATACAGCCCGTGATTCTCCTTGCCCCGAGGTCAAGCTACTGACTCAGATGGCCCAGGATGCTGCGAGGTGCCAGAGCGCTTCACTTCATCAATGTGTTGCTTGTCCCTGGCCAGTGCAAAGTCCGGTTGCTCTCCGGAAATGCCTAGCAGATCAGTCCTAGCTTCCTTCCTTTCATGTTTCTACTTTAGCCTTATCCTCATCAGATTACTTTAGGCTCATTAACTGTGAATGTTACAGTATAAAGATAACCTGATCAGGCCAAGGACTTTGGCAGACATATACATCTTTGCTCCTGGGGCTTAAAATAACTTGCAGCAGCCATGGCAGAACTAAGCTCTGGGTCTGGCCCTGGGGACCCCCAGTCTTGCCGTACGTGGACGCCACGCAGTGCGGTACCTGTGCACAGGTGGTGGGAGATGAGGTGGGTACATGGCTTGGAGTCCTACCAAGGGGGATGAGGAGGCCAGTGGGAGGTGGCTCAGAGAGTTAGCCTGGGCCCTGGTTTGGGGGGGGAAGAGGGGTGAGAGGCAGGTGGGGGTGTCTCCTTTGGGAGAACGGGTGCAAAATGGAGGATTTGGAGAGTGTGTGTGGGGGGGTAGGTCTGAGAAAAAAGGAAGGTTCGTAATTGATGCTGCCCAGAGGTGGGACCCTCCTGCTGTCACAGCCCCAGGGGTGGCAGCTGAGATTGTTCTTGGTATGGCCAACATCGAGCAGATCAGCCATCAGGCCATATGGACATCAGTGATGAGAGCTACGGTGGAAACAGGACGACCGACCTCTGTGCTGTGTGTCAGGGATTTGCTGGCAGTGCTTCCACCAGGAGCTGGACAGGCTGAGGACATGCTGCCTCACAGCTGGACTGCCCAGGGGACCCTGTACCCAGTCCTCGTACGAGGGTCTGCACCAAGCCATCGGCACACGACACCCAGGTCAGGGTGGCAGAGGGGCAAGAGCTGTCGCCTTTGCCGCAGCCTGCAGGATGGACACAGGGAAGCTGCTGTTGGGGCAGAGAGGCCAGCAGCTCCCGGGGCCATGGGGGGTCCCTGGGGACACGTCCCACTGCGACAGCCAGGAGTGGGACAGCGGGGACCACCAGGGGCAGCCCCAGTCCCGGGCATTGGGCACCTCCCTGGGAATGGAGACAGGCAGGTGGGTACTGGAAACCTGTATCTCAGGTTTGGTCATGGCATCCCGAGTGCCACCCTGAGAGCAACTCGGGCTCCCGGCAGGAACATGCTGCTCCACCAGAGGCTTGTGGCAGGGGGAGGGAGGGGTTCCGATCTGGCATCCTGCAGGTGTGCTGCCCAGAGGCAAGGTGGAGGTGCCAACAGCTGCACATGAACAGAAATAACCCCGAATTTGGACTCAGCTCAGTGCTGGTGTCACACACTGCAAGGTCTGCACATGATGTCCTCGAAACCAAGACTGCTGTTACTCACTGTTCCTCATTCCTGGTTGTTGTCCCTTCCTGACAAGGCGTGCACGCAGCCCAAGCTGGCGGAAGCACGGCACTGGTTGGCTATCTGTATGCAGATTTGGCCAGTGCATGTTAACAGCTGGGGCACGTAGACGTGGACATTTCGAGCCCCAGAGACCGAGAGGGTGACCAGCTACACGCAATACCATTTTGCCTTTGGAGGTTCAGGAGTAAGGCAGGGGCCTTGCACAACTTGGCCCAGCATGTCCCAGTTCTTTTTTGAATGTTAATGGGAGGAAACAACAGCTGCTTTGAGCAAAACCCACCGTAAAACACCCTTTCTTTCTAATCAGAGTTTTGCTGGGCCTGATCCCAAGTTTGTGTTGCTGCAGTGGAGGTTGCTTGCCTCCTGCATGCAGGCAACCCAGCCTCTTGCGTTCGTACGGGGAACCTTGCCTGAATGACGGCACCCCAAAGACATGGATCTGTCTTGCAATTAAGGCTCGCGCTTCCATTATCCAGTCCTGAAAAATTGTTTTCAAATTTCATGAAATGCATTTTTGCATTGTCTCAATCTATTCTGTGGGAATTTAGGTTTGCAGGGAAATTTAAGTCTGCAATGACTGAATGACTGAAAGCACAGGTAGGGAGGAGAATTAGCAAGTTCTGTCTGTAGCAGCCTGAATTTATTAAAGTAATAACCTGGTGGGACTTGCAGATATGAAAACACTAGAGAAAATGATATCCAGGTAAAAAGGGACAGGTATTTAATTCTAGCTCTTTTTGACTTTCAAATTTTAATCATCTGGTTTGCTAAACTGGGCAAATTATTAAATTCTTTACAAATGCTTATTTTAAAATAATTGCACCATACTCACACATGGAAATAAATATACAATTAACCCGACACTATCATACAACCAATGTGATGAAAACTGCTGTACATGTAAAACTGATGGTGAAGACTTTCAATCTTTAAAGAAACACGTTGATGAAAATGCCTGTGCTACCTGATTTCAGTGACAAAGAACATATTCTTAGTGAATGTACAGGATCATCTTGCACGGTCTGTAATTACGTGGATTTCAAAGGCAATGACGTGTTGTAGACAGCAAGACAGAGATGGAGTTCTGCTACAAGTGGCAGCCCTACGCCACTGAGTACATCAGACAAGACTCAGTTTATTCAAACTGGGTGAACAGATACTGTAAGGCGTAAACACAGTCTTACCTTCGAACAGATTGAGGTGCGTGCAGACCTTTCACAGGCCTTGTGCACAGAGGTGATTCACACCTGCCATAATTTATTATGAAGTAAATGTCCACTTTTCTGCAAGATCTCTGGATTTTCTCCACTGTCCCTTTACATTCTGCGACGTTGGCTGGTTGCCAGTGGGAGGTTCTGATGTTTGATACTTCAAGTTTTCCAGAGGATGAATGTTCTCCTGAAGGTTCCTTTTAGTTCTGCAAATGAACTCTGCTGAGAAATGCCCTGAATTCAGACAGCATCTACAATTAGTACACCTGCCTTATGTCAAAGGCCATGCTCTGGAGACCTTCTGAGGTCTGCAGATACCAAAGTATCTCATGAGATAAACTATCCAGCCCTTCCAGGATGACAGCAAACGCAACAAAAGAGCATCAGGGCCCTTTGGGAAAGTCTGACTCTTTGACAATTGGAACTGGCGGGGTTTTATGGTCTATTGGTTTATAAATAAAATGGAAATCTTTCTTGGTTTCACTCTTCAGCAGGGAGGCTTTGATGTGGTGAGGAAGGGCATCTTTGTCCAGCTGCAGCCACTGGTCATCGACATAAACAAAGAGTCCATAGTCCTTGGGATGGGAGACTTCAAACTTTTCAGCACACTGCTGACTCAGCTGCTCAGCTGTGGTGTCATTCCGGGAAGCAAGTGTCCTTGACTGAGCACCGATCTCCAGAAAGGAGATAGAGATGAAATCCTGAAGAGAAACATGAGGATAAACCTTGCAGTTAACACTGACTTAGGACCAAAGGAGGTAGAATTCAGCCCAAAGCTCTAGCTGCCTAGGACTCTTAAACACTCCCAAATGTCCTCCGATCATTCTCCAATGCCCTAATTATTCTCTCCTTTCTCCCCTCTGATGAACAAGCTCTGAATCAGCAAATACTTAAACTAACTAACACTTAACCAAATCATTAGCCTTGTAAAGACACATAAGTAAAAGCTTTTTTCTGATTTGGTGAATATCCTTAGTGTGCGACAGTTCCTTCTCCCACCTTTCTACAGCTCCTGAAGAACTAGGAAGCAAAGAAGAAATAGACCAGAATAACAAGCCCAAACCCTCAGAGATCTGGCCTGAAGCCCCCCTGTCTCACGGAAACAGGAAAGGGCTGGCAGTGTGGTGACCCTTATAACTCCACTGTCACCCAAACAGCACCTTGAGACCGTGTCCTACAAACTTCTTTCCATCAGTAAGGAAACAGAAGTAGTTATGCAGAGGAGGCTTATTTACTAGTATCCTGTTTCATGCAGTAATGACTGTTGGGATGACTTTCCTCTTGCCAAACTCATGAGGAACAGAATCTAGAGAGGCCACTGTGGAACCTGTGTGTTTAATTTTTATCTGTGAAGTTCAAGAAAATTCCCCGCCATTTTGGCCAGAAAATACTCAGGTTCTCTCCAGCAGAAGTGAGATTTGCCGAATGTATAGACTATGGGCTTCCAAACTGCATTTATGGAGTATCACTGCAGACAACTGAGGCAGCCAGAGGGATGTGCAGGGGCATGCTGAACACATCAGCAAGCTGTTTACCTCTGCCAGGATGGCCTCGCATGTCTCTGATATTACCCCTCATTCAAAGGAATGGAAAGCAGCCCTTACGCTGCTGGAGGAGGTGGGAATCTTCTGGAGAAAGGTGGCATTTGCTCCTCAGCTATTATGCTCCACGGTAGGTACTTGCTATGAGCTACTGCCAGAGCAGCACTCGGGGCTGGATGGGTATTTGATGTATGCCATCCACCATTTGCAAGTTCTCAGATCATCAGGCACTGTTTTCACTGCAAGATGGGAAACATATTCAACGCCACACTTTCATAGGGCTCTATGGACTGTGTCTTCCCCTCAGGAGACTTTCCCTGGGCTTTCCCCTCAGCATTCACAATTTTCAGTTTTGCAATGTGCAGGCTTTACAGAACCTGAGCCTTTGCTGCCTCCCTGTGGGTGACAATTTGATCACAGGACATGGGGCTGGCAGGGCGTTCCGACTGCCTGGTCCTGCATCCAACCTCACCACGGCTGGAGGTCCAGAGCACCCATCCCTCCTGGGACCCTCTCCCACTGGTACATGAGGAGTTCTTTGCAGGGCCATACTCAGAGTGGGCTTCAAAGCTAAACAGATGTTGCTGGGTCTTCCCCGCTGCCAGACAGGAGAAGCCAGGCTCTGGAAGATGCTTGCCTGACTGACCCTTGGAATGTCTCAGGTTTTCCTACAGCTTTATGCACCTAGAAACCGCCCTCGCATCACCTGCTCACATCTCCTCGGCTTAGCCCAGGACTTCCCCAGGAGACATGGAGAAGAGGGGCTCCCTGCCTCTCCACTGCAGCTCTCCACATGCGAAGATTCCTAGCATACCTCCTTTGAGAACAACAAACAACAAAACAAACAAAACGAACAACAAAATCACCCTGCCGTCATATTTAAAATTTTATCATTATGAGGGGACTTCAAGACTTCAAAATGCATTTTGTAACACTTCAAACGAGGTGCCTGTTTTAAAGATTTGGAAATCTTGCACTGTATGTGCTCTTGTTTTTTAATAGTGATTTGGGTTAATTTTGTTTTAAAACCATTATCGTATTAAAAATTCGCAAGTATGGGGAGAGCATACTCATCTTCCAGGCTTTTTCCCTAGAAAGTAATGCCAGCTACCTGCACTGACGAGCGGGAAGCCCGGGCCTTGTTCAGCGTCCTCCGTCGCTCCCAGCGGTGAATGGAGTCCTGCACCTCCATGCTCAGCTGCCGTGTGACAGTGATTTTGTCGTAGTTCTTGATATGCTCCAGGGCCCCATAGGTGGTGGTTAAATAATAGGAGCCTGTGAAAGGAGAAGGTCTTGTATGAACATCACGCCAGCATGGGCCATTCATTTCCACATCCATCCTGCCTGCTTGTGCCTATGCAGTGGCAGTTGTCTAACTCTTGCACTGTCTGTGCCTCCCTGCTGACGTGAACCCAAGAGAAATGAGACCTAATGACCACAGTGTCCTCCACCTCCTTCTGCTTCACCATGGTGTCGCTGCCCAGACTGCTGAGGCTGTAGATGCCCTGAGAGGAAACACAGACTGAAAGTAAACTACTATAAAAGCTGCTTTCACAAACAAACCCAAAACAACGCCTCTGAGCACACGTGGTTTATTCTTTGGGGTATGGCCACCTTTTCGTTGTGTTTAATAGGGCCACTGCAACCGGTCTGTAGTTTGGGCTCCTGCGCAGTCCCCACAATGCAAGGAAATAGTAACAACCGCAGTGTACTCTGTAGGAGAAGTACCAGGCTTGGCTTCAGCCCCTTTTTGTGGGGCTCTAGCTACATGGTCCCCTGTGGGCTCAGCACCGTTAAAGGATGTCTCTCTCAGACCTGCGAGGACAAGTTACCCTCAACTCCCTCCATCTTGACTGACTAGACAGGGAGCCCAGATGTTTGACTGAGAGTAATTCCTGGACTGTTCAGAATTGTGGGATAAATCTTCGTAAAGCAGAGAAACAGGGGATAATGCAGTAAAAGCCCACAGCCAGTCCTTTTCCCTCAGAAACTCCCTGGCTGCTGTGGTGGTGGCTGCAGCAGGTAATAAATAACCAGCTGCAGCAGCCAGGGAAGCAGCTGGTCCATGATAAGAACAGGCTTCATCAACGGAGATGAAGATAAGCCCCGATAAGAGGACAGAGTGGAATATGAGGAAGCTGCTGCTTTGGTTGTGGGGCAGCCCCGTGTCAGGGCACGGCCTCAGCACCAGGTTAATTAAAAGTGCTCATTTTCCCTTGTTGAGCCTTCCAGGGTCAGCTCTGCTGACACGAGGGTTTCCTCTGAAGAGAGGGAAGGAATCAGCCCACAAAGCTGCTCCAGCAGCAGCAGGGATGGGGATGGGTCCCCTGGGCCCCCAGGCCTGAGATGGGACAAGAGGCCAGTCTTTGGCCAGGCCAACCATGCCCACGTCACCTGTAAGATGCCATGGGCCCCACCTCTGCATGATCCCCTCATCCAGGGTGCCGGGAAGACAGGGAGAAATAAAAATTGCCTGTCAGCTGGGTGGAACTCTATGTTTTTAATAAGTTTTATAACAACTGCAGTTGCCTCTAGATGGCACTTCCACATCGCCCAAATGTCGCACCAGCCCGTGGCCCTTCCTCAGGCTCTGATGAGCTCCACAGTCATTGCGGCTGGTTGCATAAGTGGTGGCTAAGACAGCATTTTATTTAAGAGCAGTATTTTTAGAGCACCATTACAGTTTGGTGTAGCAGAGGAGAGACCAAGACATTGCCATTTGACTTTCTGTTCTCTGGTGGATCTGATGAAGAATGTCCCATAACTACGCAGGTCTGCATACACCGAGAACACTCTCTTATTCTTTACTGTCTCCCACAATGTGCTGCTAAGAACAGGCTAACAAGCCTGTAAGTGCCACTTTTCCCCTCTTAAATATAGTTACTACCCTCCCTCGTCTGTCATTCAGTATTTCTCCTGCTCTGGCAGATTCAGGGGTACCCGTGATGGGATCCATGACCTGGTGTCTACCTTCCCTCAGAATCCAGGGAGGAAGATCTCCCAGTCCCCCATGACAGGAATTCATTACATCTCCTTTAAGAATTAATTTTTTTTTCCACTTTCCAGTATCTTCATTTCCACACAGTCATTCCGCATCATCTACATAGTCGTTCCCCATCATCTGTCCTTGCCTGTGCCCCAGTAACCATCATTGTTGTTATAAAATTCATTCAAAGTAAATTTTTAATTTGGAGGCCAGATTTAAATGATTTTGTATATTGACCTGATGTAATTTCACAGTTTTCTCACTTCTGCTTTCCTTTTTTCCCTTTTATTTCTGTGCCTGAATCACCTTTTGCCATTTAACTTTGAAAGGCCTAACTCGTTGACTTTTGCCAGTTCCCATTTTAGCCCTGCGCTTTGCAATCTCAGAGCTGTCTTCACTGAGACATTCTTTTTTTTTTCGTTCCCTGTATCTGCAGTTACTCTCAGTCTCCTTTCTGAAGTGGTTATTTAGCTAGTTTGATCTGGAACTCCTTCAGAAAAGTTTGACTGGAGTACACATTTGAGAGAGTCTTGGCATCTTTGACTTAAGAGAACTTCCAGCCAGCTTTGCCTTTGATAGCCTGAGCTCCCCAACCCAAGTGACTTCAGTAACCAGCCTGGAAGTGTGCCCTTTTGAAATGAAGAACCTGTGGGCAGTGTAGTCACCAACTACCAGCTTAGTTATGTCAGCAAAATGCTGTGCTTAGGGTAACATTTTTTCTGCTAACAGTTCTTTGCAGCAGGAAAATTAGCCTGTGCAGAAACCCCTCACTAATATGACTGTGTTGCTACGGCTTATTCTGTTAGTACTTAATTTTGCCCACCTCTGCACTGTGCTGGGATGACAAGCTCTTAGTTACAGACTTATACGTCCATTTAATATAAATAAAATTAATCTGCTGTTGTTCATCCAGGCCTCCTTTCTAGAACCTCAGTACTTACCAAAACAAAGCCTAAAATAAACCCTATTTTATTGGTTTAGTGACTACTTGGTGAAAAATTATCTGTGTTCCTAATTCAGAGTGCGTAATACTGTCACTGTTAGTAGCATTTGCTTCCCAAGCTATATTTAAGAAACTAAAGGCCCACAGTTCCCTGGGGTATTTATCCCTCTATTAGGAGAAGTCTTTATTCACATCCAAACACAATATTCCTCTCTAACCCAACTTTCTCTGCCTCGCTATGATACTCAGCCAGAGAACATTGTCAAAGGGGTCACTCAAATTTAAGAGTAGAGTGACCGTAACGATGATGTATGGCCCCAGGCATACAATGTGGTTTAAGAAATGTGCTCTTTTCTCATTGGAATAAATACAAGTGTCTGCACAATGGACTGCAGCAGCGGTTTAATTTTAGGCAAAGACCTTTTAACTTTTCAGCCTTTGGGCCAAGGAGCACTAGATGTCTCTGTTTAGGTTACTAATCCAGCAACTCAGTTCTCATTTATGCTGGGCCCTTGTCTTTCTAGCTGGTGTCTAAGGACACTGCACTGCTAAAAGCAGTGTTTGACAATAATTTTTTGAGACTCATATTTGAAAAGCTTGGCCAAAGCTTATCCACAAATCCTAGCCAGACCCTTGCTGCCCCACTTTCACAAACACTGAAGCCAGGTAAATAATGATTTCCAAAGGGAATATCTCAGGAGCAAACACTGTACTCTACCTTCCCCTAGCTGCAGAGCAGGGTCCATGAGCTCCATCATATACTCCACATTCAGAAGGACTTCAGTCAAGTTGCTGCGGGCCAACACGTACATAAGCACGGGAAGGAAGTCATCTGCACCGTACGGCTTCCCTGAGCAAAGAGAAACACATAGTGGTCCCAATAAACTCGCCACAAAGACACGTTCCCACACAACACTGACAGCTTCTCACCCAGCATGGCCTTTGCGGACTTTGGCTTACATTATCTGAAGAGTTAAAGCTTGAAAACACCAGCAAAGAAAAAATGCTGAAAAAGGGAAAGTCAGGTCTCTTAAAAGATAAGTGAACTTTCTTCAAGCCCAAAATACGAGTATGAAGATTTTTAGTGAGCACCATTTCTGCTATTCTTTAATAACTGGAGAAAGAGAAGCTTAAACTTCATGGATCACAAACCAATGACCATCCTTAAAGGCTGCCAGCTCAGCCCTCTGATCAACACTGCCATCAAGACTTCAATTCAGGTTTACAGTATTTGCAGCAAAGTTGTCTACATGCATTAGGGGTATTTATTCTCTTAGGTTTGCACTATGTGTGGGACCAAAGAGCAGAAAATGGAAGTTGAGACTCGTTTTTAGGACTGAGGACTTCCGTGTTTACGTTCCTTCAGAAGGCAAAACATTACACTACACGTTCCTAATTAAAACAGCCACCCAAGAGCTAGGATCTTTCCAGTCATGGTGTCTAGCTAAGAAAACAAAAAGCCTTTCACATTGGACTTAGACTAGTTTTTGGACTTGGTGTGCAGCAGGTGCTACAGGAACAGATCCTCATGGGCTCAAGACTTCCTGTGCTTAAAAGGTTCACATCAACAAAGTCAACAAAGTAATCTTTTATGTCATCTGTAAGAGCTCTTTGGGATCTCTGAGGACAAAAAAGCATACATGTTAACAGTCATCATTATAAATAATTACTACTTAAAATAGAACCCAAACTGAAGCTTTGCTGTATAAACCGCGAAGAACACAAGGATAGCTTTTCTTATTAGAAAGATGCTCTCACTTTCCACCAACATGTCATAAATTCATCATGGACAACCCATAATGGCAAGTTGCTTAACTGGCCTATCTTCCCAATATTCAGAGTTGACCACTCCTGTTAACCTAAGCCCAGATTGCTTAGGGCTGAATGTCTTCCCTCAGACAGTTTTCTTTACCTGAGCACTTGCATGTGTTGGTTTCATGGGCCGTGTGTGTCTCACTTCAGAACCGTTTGCCTCACCTCAAATAATCAAAGCTACCCTTGATGTAGCTTCAGTGAAATTATACCCAAGCCATTTTTGGCCCGTAGTCCACATGCCCTTCCATGGTAGGGCATAAATTCCTATTTGTCAAATGTTCCCACTGACTTATTTCAAATCTTTGCCATGAGTCAGCTTTCCTTTTTTGTCATTCATAGCTGATGCAGATTGTCCACTGGCAAAGAAAGATATTCTTCTGCAGCCTCAAATAAACATGAGATTAGCCGCTGATTAAAAAAAAAATAATGTGGCTTTAAAATAAACCCAGTAATATATCTAGTAAACAGAGAGTTGATCCAGTTAAAACAAAGTGTTGGAGTATGAGAGATTGTCAGAGCTGTAATTCAGACTGTTTCTAACAGAGTCCGCACATGCCACAACGTAGACAATTTATTTAATGAAAGCTGGATTAACGCTTTCAATTCTGTTTGCTTTGTTATGGCTGCCTTTAGTTAAATGACACAGCCTTAAGTCTTCAACCAAACTATAAAAGGACTGCGTTGTTTCATTAACATCTGGATGGGCATTTTGTATGTCTGTTGTTGACTTGGCTTATGTCTCTGTGAAAGCTTCAGCTCTGTGAATTGTCCAATTCGTTACTGTTATATATATTACCTTAATACAAGCAGCTTAGTATTACAGCTATTTAGTATTACCTAGCAAAAAAAGATGACACAACTGAGACATGAAAGGTTACTAGAAAAACTGCACAGAGAAAAGCCCTATTCTCCTTTTGACCTGAGTAAATCAGATGCCAACAGAGTTAGTTCTGTATAAAACTAGTGTAAAGGAAGATGAAGTACCAGAGAGTTTGCTAGGCTCATTTTTTCCCTTCTTTAAAAACTTTTTCTTTATGATGTAGTAGTTACTGACCAGTGGCATGGATTGGGTGCTTCATTTCCTGAACCCCCAAGGGATTTTCAGTGCAACACCAATAGCAGAATTTTCTCTTCCCTGCCTCTTCTTTACCATGACTATTCCATGTTGTGTCTCTCCAAGAAAGTTGCTACTTCACAACATGAATTCCTACCCACTGGAAAAACAATGCTGTGTTTTGTTTTTTTTTTTTTTTAATATAAAATGTCACTGAAGGAGATCACCAGCCAGCCAACAGCCAGACAACCAATGTAGAGGGGAAACAGCAACTTGGAACTATTTCCACGTCCCCAGCCATTCACTTCTAGTGTCAAATGAAATGAAAGTTAGAGGACACTTTTCAAGAACTCCTCCAGAACCTATTTCTTTTTTATTGACTGAGAAGCAGGCACCAAGTCAATTGTTATTCATTGCTGTCTATATCATATCTATAAGCTGAGTTAGCCGCTTTGCCCACCAGCCCTTGTTATAAACCCTTCTCAACTTTAAGATTTCAGAGAAATATTATTGGACTCCCAGCTGTTTATATGACTTAAATATGAAAATCTGATACGCAGTTTCTTTTTGATTATTAAACTCAGAATAGGGATGTCTGACTGCAATAATGCAAAGAATTCTTATTCTCCATATGCTGTATGCTCATAACCTGCATAAATTACTAGACATAATTTTAGTCCACTTGTGGGAATATGAAACCTGATTCTTAAATACCCACATCTCTACCTAAAGCTGAAGTCAGCAGGAGCTGTAAGAAAAGCAAAGCTAATTATCAAGGATCTTAGCTCTGACTCCATGTGTTGCCACAAACTTCCAGTGTTGCCTAGGGTAGCTCAGGCATGGTATATTGTGTCTACTCCTTGTAGGCATCGCAACACTTTCTCTCCACTGACTGCATACGGAGTCAAGGATAGGTGCCTGAGAGGCCAGGAGCCTGAACCTCCCCTTGTTCTCCTGGCCTTGGATGTCACAGCAGACTAGCTTAGTCCCACACAGGGACTGGCTTAGACACGTACAGCCGGCAGACCAAGTACGGCCCTGAGATGCCCTGTGTCTCAGTTCATCCATGGGGATAATAGGTGGTGTCAGCAACTCGAATATGGCCAGACGCAGGAGGCACAAAGATATATGAAACAATGCCTGTGAACCAAGACACCCAGGAGGTTGGTGCTGCTCAGCATCCTGCAACCCACATGCTCCCTGCACCACGAAAGGCACCAGGACACCAACCAGCGTCCATCCAGGGGCTGCAGCAGGGATGTCCTCCCTAGGCTGCTGCCTCCTCAGCTCCACTCTCATTCTGGGCCAGAGCCAAGGTCCCAGACCTGCGTGTCTAACTCCATCTGTGGTCTCTCACAGAGGGGTAAGTTTACAGCTGACAGAGTTAAATCTAGCTCTGACTCTGCCAGTGGTCTCAGTGACACTGGGACTGAGCTTGTTTGTTCAAGGTGGTGGTGCCCTACTCCAGATATGACTTGCTTGCTTTATTTCCTCCTCTTCCCTGCAGGATCAGGAAACATTTATTTCATAAATATCTATAAGAAGCTTAAAATAAGCTTTCTCTACTGCCACAAACTCATCCTATTATGTTTATAGCACAGCAAATACAACGTCAGCTCCTGGCTGGCATGCAGTGCTTGAATAGAACGGGTATTAATTAAATACACGATTTAAAGCAACTGGAATTCTGCCCAAGCCTCCATAAAGAAATTACAGACTATTTTAACACACTCATGCATTTCTTTTCCCTCCATGTATATTCTGACAACCAGCAAACAATGATGATGCTCTGCACCTTGCTCTAATATTTTACAAACACTGGCATGATGTCTAGCAGCAGCTCTCCAGGAAATATGAATTTTAGCCTCAGTTTATAGGTGGGAAACCTGAGGTACAGAAAGATTAACTGAGATTTGTTCAAGATCACAAGAAAAGATTATGACCATCCTTCCACTCACTAGCATTTTGCTGTCTCTTGTCTATCTCATACTGCTTCAGCAAGGTTCGATTTATGGTGTAGTTGAATTAAGAGAGTTAATACATGCAGGCAGCATGAATCCATTTCAAAAACATGTTTTACAGATCAGAGGAATTTGTTCCCCTTGAAAAATTTGAACTGGCTCTTTAATTCAAATATAGAAATTGTGCTAGCCAGAAAAAAGATATAATCTCTAGTCCATCAGCCTTCCTTAATAGTAACTTAAATACAAATATCCTCTTCCTAAAGATAACAAAGCAAAACTGTTATGTATAGATTTATTTTCCTTCTCAGAAGTGAGATGTGATAATGAACAGCGTGGTGGGATTTCTTTGACTTAGTTTTAGGAGCTTCTAGCATCAGTTCTATACTGGCTGCTGAGGTATTTGAGGCCATGTTCCTGTTCACAAGCTCAGCTATCCCACTGAAGGAACACTGCTTCCTGCCCACACCTTTGTCAACTGCACAGCCATATAGGAGTGCATCAGGGCCACTAATATCCAGCTGCTCAGTTCTACAGGGGATGACAAACTTCATCCTAAAAGCTAGGGAAGAGAAAGATTCCAATGGCATATACGTCCTACCTATCATCTCTTTCCAAAAGCAGACTATGATTAGCCATGCAAAACTAGGCAATAGAAATCATTAAATCAGATGTTTAGGGCCAGTCACCTAGCCGACTCCATCGCTAGTACAGAATTGGTTTTGAACTATATACTCCCACTCCCCATGCAGTTCAAAGATACTCCAAAAATGAAGCTTCATAACCTTAGGCAGTCCACAAGTTAAAAATGTTGCAGTAAGAAGATCGTTCCTGTGTTCATTCTTCTTGAATCTCCTTAGAAAGCAGTCTCCCCATCTTTCAAACTTTCAATTTAACCTTAAAGCCTTTCCGTCCCTGATCTTCTCTCCTCATGGACTGACCAAGCTTGGCCTGTTTGTCTCACACAGCATTTCTTCATACACCAATGCCTACTTCTCCTCTATTTTTGCTTTTCCATCAGTTCTCTTCCACAGAGCGGTAGCTCCCAGGTAGCACAAGGCTGGGAGCTCGAGGCTTACCATTGCCAGCAAACACCACACATATTGCAGATTTGCATCTCGTTTATCACTCCACAAGTGTCACTTATGTTTTTAACAGACCAAAAAGCAGAGATTCTCATTCTACTCCTGCCACACAATATGCCTTTGACATTTTGTCTGAGTAAAGGTATTTCTGAAAGATAAATAATAGGCATTTTTTTTCCACATAAGATTACAGTGCTTCTATATAAATCAGCTATGTGCCCAACTCTCCCTGTGGGTATTGTGGCATGCCTTCCAAATGTAGGAGCAGTCAGAGAGTTGGGAGCTTACAGCTCCCCAGGAGTCCTGCCTCTTACTTTTTCTAGTGCACAGAGGAAAAAATGCCAGCCAGTTTGTGAGGGGTGGGCTGGGTTTCCAAACTCTTGTTTTTCTATTCTTTTAATGCATATTATTCTTACTAACTACTCCTAGCATTTTTAGCAGCCAGGTTACGTCTTTTTAGATTGTATGTTACATTCTTGGAGGCGTATGTTGCTGTGATTTAAGTTTGCATAGAACTTGGAAAACCTCAGTGAGACACTGTAATGCTATCCTAATTGTCCTTTTGGGGAGGATTCACTTACTAATACCACTGCCTACACTGTACATGTGAACATTTGAACCAGCACCCCTAAACTCCTTTTATAGCCAGTGATAAACTAATCAATGTCATCAGTGGAGTTCGTCATGAGTCATCTCACCCTAAAGCAGACACCTACATTGAGCCAGATGAATCAACTGAGTTCCATCAACTAAGTCCCTGCTGTCTATAATGAGAAGCTAGACATGTTACCCATCTGTGGCTACCTACAGCTAGATGTAGCTGTAGATGACTCCTACTTCAACATAGGTCTATATCTTGTAGTTGTACTCAGAGGTCTGTTGGGAGAAAGGTATTTGACAAAGACTGTGAACTTGTCTTCCTGATTCCTCATGATGAATCAGATCCACAAGTTGAGATTGGCTTCAACTGGAGGGAGAAATGTTAGTTTAAACCAGCTGAGGATCTGACCCATTCAGTTCATAGTCTAACTATCAGGGGGTTCAACTGCAGCCAATTTTTCAGGCAGATTTTTTCATATAGTATGAATTGCAATTAAACCAGAGAACTCCTTTCTAAAATGGCCTGATACACATGGAGTCAGTCAGCAACGACTTCAAAGTTTCGTGACTCTTTCAGCAGTGCAAAGATGGGCACTACTACAGGCATAGATGTTCCTGCGTAAGCCTATCCTTAGTTTTAAAGAGAACTTGTTAGCTGTTGAGACACCCTGGCCAAGCTTGGACTACTGTACAAGGGCCTTAAAATGTTAAAAAACTTGTGTTTTCGTAGGGGTCTGAAAAAAAAAATGTGGTTGATTGGGTGGTATTTGCACTTTACTTTGAGATATGAAACCATATTCTCAGGTCAGCTCATCCTATGGTCAGCCTAAAGTGAGCAAAGACCTGGCTTGAGCTGCCAAATTGCAAATTAAACCAGGCAATGTAAGTAGTTATCATATTACCGAACAGATCATTTTTCTGCCAGAGGTAGGCTGATTTTGGTCCTGAGGCAGAGGGATCGACTAGTTTTGTGTTCCACCTGCTCTGATCTTGGAAGAGGAGGGAACTCTCTAATTCAGCAGTGAGTAAAAGGAGCTAAAACAGAAACAGACTATTGCACAGGAAGCCGAGCATCGCCTCTGCTCTTCCTGTGTGAAGAGCACTGTGCTGCCTCAGGGCTGGCTAAAAGCAAAAGGGGCCCCCGGGCTGCTGCTCTCTGGACGGGCAGAGAGCAGGAGGAGAATTCCTACCTGCCAAAATCTAGTCTAAGCGGCCCGCAGCCCGCTCTCCTGCACTCCACCAACTGGGAATTCCCTGTCAGAAAAATAGTTCAGTTTGCCAAACATTTGTCTTTGCCAGGTGGAAAAATCAATGTGATCTGAGGTCAGTTCATGCCGCTGAAGAGGTTCCACACATTTCACTTCTAAATGGGCCTACAGGATGCTTCACTCAATTTCTCTCCGAGTCCACTGTCTTCTGGGAGTTAAGACTATAGCTTTCTCCTCCCTTTAACCTCTTTTTCTGGTCTGAATTCATTGGGGTACATTTCCTTAATGCCAGGCCATTTTCCTTCTGTCCAGGCCCTGGTATGCATCGCTGATCATATACACTGGAGAAGGAACTGGACGTGCAGGGGTGAAGTCAGCTTCCAACCTACACCCCGCTTGCAGCAGTGCGCAACAGGAGAAATCAGCTGAGCTGGTCGAAACGAAGCGCTTTGGTCAGCAAAGCAAACCACAACGAAATCCTCTGATTTCATGAATGCCAACCTTTTAAAACACATAGGGTTTTTTGAGTTATTTCCCTGGCCCCTAATTTCTGTTACATAAAATGACAGAACGGCATTTTCTGCAACAGAGAAATTCCAGCCCTGAGCAAACTGAGGTGTGACAGATACGTAATGTACCACCAGCATCGGAAGGGGACCGTGTCTCCTATGTGGGTTTTAATGAGGCATGCTAGTCTTTGATCTATACCAAACTTACCCTCAAACTTAACACAACTGTTTTAACAAAGTTACAGCAAATTCCCCTATGTGTCTCCAAATCTTCTCATAATACTTGAAGACGATTGGAGGTCCTATCCACCCTGCAGCTTTGGCTCAGCCCCGGGGTGGCTTTTTGCTTCTGCTCTTAATGTGTCTAGATTGGTCATGGAACCTTGCTGTCCAAGGGATGACCCCAAGGTGAGGCTCAGAAGGGCCACAACAATTCCTGTATGAGTGCTCCAGGGCTGTTATCAGTACAAAATAAAGCAGAACAGCTAAAAGCACCTTTGGAGATCATGAGTTCTTGCAGGTTGTTGCAAATTAATATCTGGCTTCTCTCCAAATTTATGCATGGCTGGTTATCAGCTCACCAGTATACAAAGAAAGCTCTTGAAGTAGGAAGGCAGACTCCTGGAGGAAGGGGCTTCCTGGTCTATCTGCAAAAATGCATCCTGTCTGCAGGCCAAGGGCTCAACATGTGCATTTAGTGGTTGGCCTGAGGCCCAAGTTATATTTATACTCAGAGAACGTACTTCCCCGTACCAAAGAAGTGTAGTAGTGGCTTTTGGAATTTAGTGTATTTGGACTTAGTGAATTTGGAATTAGTACCAAACAGTACTAGCATTCTGCGTCTCCACCTCACTTTAAGCAAAACTTTGAAAACGCTAAATCAAGACACTTTTCCCAAAGACCCATTCCTAGAATTTACCACTAAGCTGCTACAAGCTGGGATAGAGCTCTTAGGATTTGTGGAGAGCTGTGTGAAGACCTGTGCAAAAAGGACATTACCCATAAAACGCTCACTTACAGACATATGTTTTTTGGAGTTGTGGAGCTTAAAGTTAACCAGGTAAACTCTTATATCTGTTATTAGCGCAGAGAACTTCACAGTCACTAACCAGTCCATTCTGAACACAACCTGTGGACAGCTGATACCAAACACACCGACCACCACTGTTACCTCCAATCTGAATATTACCACATCACCTGTATCATAAACCCTGGTCCTCTGATACACAGAGAGGACCAGTGAGGGATACCATTTCAGTGGGAGTGCTGTACCTGGGTTTCCCTGAGCCATGGAGTCATAGATGAGTTTGCAGGACTTCAGCAAGATGGCAATCTTCTTTTCTGGGGAGTAGGCCTTGTGCATGGTTGTGAACTTGTGAAGGATCTTTTCCAGCACAACGGTTTCAGGCACACTGGTTGTGACACCTAGGTCAGTGGTAGTTGTGTTTTGTATCACAAGTTGGTTCTCTTTTAGCTGCTGTAAAGATCCATCTTCATTGTGGATTTCTTTTAAGTAAGAATCAATGGCTTCTTTTAAAGGTTTCAGGACACATTTGTACAAAGCTGTCTCAGCAATCACTTCTGCGTGGAGAAGGGAGAGCACAAAAGTCTGTGATAAATAATCAACAGAGTAGTACAGGTGCAAGTAAAACTCCTAAGAAAGCACGTGGTTGGTTATTCATGCACTACTGCATAGCTGTGAGCAGGGAACAGAAATTACATTCCAGAAAGTAAATGTTTCATTACCAACACTCTCCAGAAGTCCTGCATAGGCTTGAGATGAACGTCAATGTGCGGTCTCTGCCACTGGAGCCGTAGGAGAGCTACTGCTACCAGCAGCCCCTGCTGTCTTTGCCGGACACCTTGCTGACCAGCATGGCGCTATCAGGCAGCAGGAAAGCCGACTTTGGGAAGAGATGAGGAAACTTCACCTAACTAGGCTTCTTCTGACAGCCCTGTGCTTACAAATGCCCAGGTGGGATTCATCTCAAGCCCCTTCTAACATCTCCCTCTGACCTGTTTGAGATACTCACTGCAGGATGAAATCAATTGCATCCTCAAAGCACCCCTTTCTCCACAGTGACTGAAAAGGGGCTGTAGCCACCGGCTCAGAAGCAGACACCAACATCTGATCAGAAGTTTCCCACCCTTACTGCTCAAGTGACCCTAATTTACTGATACTTAAGTCACCTTTTACACCACCTGTGGATGAGGAAATTGTGTGGGTTGAGCATTTAGCAGGAGACAAAAGGAAGCATGAAAGACTGTGAGAAAGTCTGTCCTCTGACTCCTGGAAGCCAGAGGCAGAGATAGAGGGACTGCAAGGGATCCTCTTGTCACCCCTGCGCTGAGGCAAAAAGGTCTCCAGCAAAAGAGTTCATCCGCTCAGTCAGTGGGGAAGGAAACAGAGGGCAGTAACATTAATGTACACAAAATCCAACTATTTTAAAGAATCCAGAGAATCAGGCAGCCTGAAGCAGGACAGATTCAAACGGTAAACGTTCCACGGTGGGTGTCTCTGCCCCCCACAGAAGACAGTCCTCCCCAGGCTGACTGCACCACATCATCCTGGTCAGGAACCGGCAGTGAACAGGGCCAGATCTAACCAGGCGTGTCCGCGTGAAGGTGGGGGGATCCTCGCACACACGCAGCTCTGCCAAGCAGAACAAGGACACTTCTTCTTTCTGCCTCCTCTCCACCTTCCCTAATCACGATTCAAGATGGACTTCTCTGTGCTGACACCCCCTCTCTGCATCAGGAACAAAAATTGCATGTGTTATGTGACGGGCATGAGAAGTGGAACTGTAGCTCCCCTCTCCTGCCTATGGCAAGGGGCTGGCAGCGGGTCTGTTCTGCTGGGGACACAGCAGCATCATGTGAAGCCTTTGCTGGGCGAGAAAGAAGTCATCAGGGCCTGTTGAGACTGACAGCTGAGTGCCTCTGAGTCCTGGCTCACCACTTAGCTGGGCCCCACCTAATACCGGAGCTGCAGGATCCCCTGGAATCCCTGGTCACTTCTGTGGTTGGCCATGTTCTGCATGAGAACCATGTTCTGTGGTTCCCATGGTCTGGGAGTTTTCCAGCTCCCAGCTTGCTTTAAGCCAACCTAGGGAATCTCATAAATAGCCCTGCATTGGTTCTCAGGTCCTCAGGAAACATTTTTAAGTCAAAAGAGCATGTGAGTGCATGCATGCACACTTTTTCTGGCTGTATGGCTTTGACTGGGATAAAAAAACCCTACAGCTCTTTGAATATTCCCTCATGAATGGACATTAAACAGGCCAGTCCATTTCTTAGCAAGGAGGGAAGTAGCACATTACTCCCTCACAGAATATTGAATAAGAAGCAACAAAACATCCCTAAACAGCCAAAAATATTATTTTTCCTCCCCAAGGCAAACTATGTCTGCAGCAAAGAGAGGTGAATGCTGCATTTTGGAGCTAGCAGTGCTCTTGCAGCGGGCAGCTCTCTTCCACACCTCTGAACTCTGAGGAGCACACACCAGGACCAACTGATTCCTCCAACCTGCCACTCAAAATCATCATAGTCTTGTCCCTCCTTGTGAGACAGTGACTGCCCCCTGATCTGGCTGCCACATGCCGGGAGTTCTCCATCCTCACCGCAGAGCGTGGGGCAGTGGATGTGGAAGGCCATGGGGAACAGAGCTGTGCAGAGGGAAGATGGCCTTTTCTGTTTCCAGTGAATACAGTTCTCTGTGTGTGTGTGCCTATGCACACACATATATACACACACACTCATATTTGTATGTGTGTATATGCATATATACATACATATATGTCTCTCTCAGACACACAAACACACATCTCTTCTGCTTAAACTCTTCCCTTTAAAACATCCATAATGGGTTTTCCCCCTCATTGGTCTCCCAGTTTTCAGAGCTGCTCCTCCACGTGCTGGCAGCCACAGAGCTTCAGTTCACACCCCTCAGCTTTTAGGAGGTGGTTTATAATTCTGTAAAGAAGAAACTGTGTCTGCATAATCCTGTCTCCCTCCTCACCTTCCCAAATCCCGCCCGAGGATGAGTAAAGCACAGTCACCTACCTAACTGTTCCTCGGTGTAGGAGGCTGGATCTATCAGAGATTTCAGCTCAGTGCTCTGCACTAAGTAACTCTTCAGCTGCGTCATCATCATCCGGATTTCTTGTAGCATCTCTGTGCTGGAGCTCTGCTTTGCCATCATCTCTAAACTGTACACTCTGTAGTCCTGCACCAGGTTGCCAAAGTACGAATCCTTGTCCTGTGCCAGCTCCACTATCTTCTTCTGCAGCTTCCTGTCACTAGACAAAAAGACTGTGAAGACATTGGACAGGCTCACAAAGGACAGCCTGTTCTTGGCCTTGCCCAAGATCATGGAGCGTGTCTTTTTACCGGACGAGCTACTCAGCATCTCCAGGTCATCCTCTGTGCTACTGGTGGAGTAGGAGTCTGGTTCGGACGCTGACGCCTGAGCCATGGCGCTGCCTCCCGGGATCTCCAGAGAGGAGCGCGAACCTTTCAGTTCAGCTGAGCCAACAGATTTGCGGCCATGTTCTTGTTCAGTCTTGGTGTGTGTGCAAGTAGCACCACCTGCCACTGTAGGTGAGCTGCTCTTGCACAAAGCCGGCGCCGTGGCCGTCTCTGCCACTGTTCTTTGCTTTGACTGGTAGGAGCTGGGGATCCTCGGTACCTGGGAAAGCCTCTTCCTTCTCGGTGGTGGGATAGGAGGTGACTTTGCTTTCTCAATGGCATTGCTTTGTATCTCAGGCATGTCCTCCTTCTTCTCTGCAGGTTCGGGCTTTGTCTCCTGAAACTGTGATACAGCCACTTCGGGAACCTCCCCAGGCATTTCTACAGCCTTTTCGCACAGCAACCTCTTATCTTTGCTCTCTGTACTTGTGTCTTGTTTTTCTCCTGTCCGTTCCCCTTTCAGCGTTTCACAACTTCCAGGCTTACCCACACAGCTCTCCTCTGAGGTCCTCTCGCACAGCCGCCTCCGTGGGGGGACAGAGGGCTGGGAGCCCTTCTTGAGGCTCACTGCCGAGGGCTCATTGCCTGAGCAGCTCTGCTTCTTCTCTTCTTCTTTATTGTCACCGCCCTCAATTTTCATTTCCTTGATGCTCTTTCCTAGCGGCTGAAGAAGCAGCTCGTTTTCTTCACAGGCAGTCATGGGATCCCGCAGGAGCTTCAGAGAAGGTTTCTGAACGAGAGCGTGAGAAGGTGGAGGTGGAGGGGGGCGGCGGGGAGACCTCCTTTCAGCGAGTGTGGTGGCAGGGGGGAGATCGGCACTCACAGCATGGCTTTTAGGAGGAGGTACATCTAGAGGAAAAGGATTACTGCACTCTTCTATAAAAATAGGATTCACGAACCACAGCCTGTCATTTCCTATTGACAGCTCAATTTCACATGAGCAGTGGTTTGTGCTACTTGCAAAACACTGGGTTGATCTTAAACTGTCTGCCTGGGCAGTGCTGAAAGCAGAGTCTTTTGCAGGGTGGGATAACTCCTCTCTTCTTCTGTGGTTTAGGGAGGAATCCCAGAAATCTGTCAAAAAAAGAAAAAAAGAAGAATGAAAAAAAGCTCTGAGAGAATTTCAGCTGCTAATGGTATGTAGAAGTCCTACTTTTTGTTAAAAGAAATGGTACACAAGCTTTCACACCTCTGCACAGAACAGTATGAAGAAAGGGTTGCCTGTTTTATGTGTGTGAGAGGCTTCAAACCAGGGGACAAGCTCAGAAGCTTCACCAGAAACCTCCTTCTTGCCAACTTTAGGATACTCATCTAGTGAAAACTGTTAATGCTGTACAGCCTATGCAGTGTGAGCAGGAAGGTACAAGTAACAAATATGAATGATTGTGAAAATGGGTCTATGGCTTGATCAGTGATTGCTGGCCTCCAAATGCAAATAGCTGGGGAAACCTGAGGCGAGGGTGTGAAGACCCCAGGCAAGTGCTGTCTCCTTCTTGCTGACCACGGGACGGTGCAGGGCTGAGATGTACAGCCTGGATCCGACACGCACCAGGAGCACAAGAGACACCAAATAAAGATGTGGCAGAGTCTGTTCTACACAGAGGTCTGATCCTGCTTTACAGTACAACCAGTCCAGAAACATATGATTTTAAATACCTTCCACAGATTAAAATTACCATTAACGTCTATATGTCTGGATGACCACACTGCTTTGCATCTTGCCTTGAGGCTGCCTGCCTGCAGGTGTAAGAGAGGAGAGATGGTGCAAAAGACTGCGAACACAGGAAGGCTGTGTACTGAAGGACTGAAGAATAGTTAAGTATTTCAGTGCCATCAACCGTGACTAGAAAAGGAAGATGGTGTTTCAGATGCAAGTAGTTATTTCTGTATGTCACAAACCTCGTATTAGAATTTATTTTGCAGTAACTTGTTTAAAAAAAAAAACAACTACAGAGTGTTCATACATCTTTTGAACAGATTCAGTATCATATTTAACCTTTTTCCCTTCCCCCAGAGGTGAGTTCTCAAATCTGCTTGCCTTTCCAGTCTGATTGCTTTTAATCACTCAGGTGCTAATCCAGGATCCACTACCGGAAGCATCAGGAAACAGAGGTTCTTGAAAACCCTGTGTGTTCTGACCAAGGGAAAGGGTATAAACCTCTGCGGGTGTTCACTGTGTGAGGACTGCATAGATGCCCACAGATTTAGGGACAAGGGCTGGATGGGAAATCCTGGAAACACAGGGATGCGGATAAATAAACAACTATTTTGGCGTGCTTGGTCCCTGGACACAGAGCTGAGGCTGACGGCGCACTCTTACAGAGGATGCAAATGGAGCTGCCACATGGCTCCTGCACCCCACCCTGTGTTTGATGTCAAGCGCATCTCACTGCACAAACATCACGTGCCGGGCCTGAGAGGGGACAGATAGGGCTGCGCAAGTGTGGGGTGACCCTCAGTGCTGAGCATGAGGTACAGCTCTCAGGACAGTGCCTTCAGCTGTGCCTTGCCAGGGCCCTGTTCTCCTGCCAGCTGCACCAGCGTAGCCTCCAGCCCATCATGGGGAAAGGGGTGCAGGGCTGAGCTGGGCAGAGGCTTGGGCAGGGTCTGCCTGTGCCTCTTCCTAAAAATCAGCACCCCAGAAAAGCTCAAAGCGACCTCCAGTTGGGAACGTCATGGCGGAACTCAAAACAGAACAAAGAAACTCTTTAACTGAAGCCAACGCAGAACTCGGGGGTGGAACACATTCTGATAAAATCTCTCCCTTGCCCACTGTGTCCCCAAAGACAGGCCACTGCTTCCCATTTTACTCCCCAGTGCAGCCGTGACTTTTGATGTCTTCCTGCTTGCAGCCAGCTCCATGCTGTTGCTGGAAAAGCCATTTTCTTTCTGCCGCCGCCATGACCTGCCCTCTGCAGGGCTCTGCCTTTCCCCCTCGGTGCCCTGAACCCGCTGCTGGCCTTGCCTCCCTCTGCCATCGATGTGGTCCTCTGGGCCACAGCCAGCTGCCCCAGGGACAGGGACCATCCCCATCCCTCCAGCGGGTGCAAGTGGTGCAGGCAGGGCAGGACGGGCAGGCTGACTCCTTGCTGTCCCCCTGCTCCCTCTAACCAAGCATTTGTATAACGTAGCCACAGAGTAAGCCATGAAGAGGTGACCTAAGAGACTATCCATTCCCATCAGGATAAAAGTGCCGATTTAGCCTCTCACAGCCTAGGCTAGTGTCCATGGCTAACTCGACTTCATAAGCATGTCACCGTGCTTTCTCAGGGAGGCTGAGGTTAGAACAGCTTTATTCTCTGATTTCCTGCCATGAGAGGGAGGAAAAGAGAGAAGCTTAAAATAAAAGTGTTGCCAGGAACAGAAGCACTCTTGACAACAGAATTCAGGAATAGACGTGCAGATGCAACTGCACATAATAGCATCAAGCTAACTACTCCCTCGTGTCTGAGACTGTCTGGGGTACGATTTCCGTTAAACACTCCAACTCTACTGGGTATCAGCAAATGCGAGACAGTGGAAGTTGCTTGTTCAAGTCAGAATATAATGCTGTGGAGCGTCATGGGCTGAGAAAATGGTGAGTAAACCAATCTACAAAAGGGAAGTTGGTTATTTTTTCTCAGTAGTAGTCAGGATAAGACGCTGTGATGAAAATGCAATGCTCCACTCAGACTGTGAAAAACCAGAGGAGGTGGTCCTACCAAGGGGGTTACGCAGCTGCTTCAGAGAAGGTGTTTCCCAGCCCAGCCGCGCTGTCTCATACAGCATGAAAGGAAGTTTGATCATCTCCCATTGCCACCTCCTTCCCTTAGCTTACACTCTGGGAGGGATAATTAGGCAGTTCTTTGAGACTTTGGCACATCTGTGATGGTACATGCTCTTTGTGAAGCGCATTCATGCTAATTCTCCTGCTAAAATGCCTTCTGTACCAGCGAGGTCAGGACGAGATGGCCTGCAGTACACCCTCTTTGACAATATACATAACAGCCAGATCCTCTGTGGAACAATCCAGCTTGCAGGTAGACATCTTAGTTCTACCATCTCAAAAATCCTATCACTTTGATATAAATAAATAAAAGCAATATATGAGAATTTCAACCAACTCTAGCTTTCCTTTGGGAGGGCCACTTCGGGCAGCACTTATTGGTTGTGAACCCATTTGTACCCTCAAAATTTTGTTCCAGGAAGCAGTGAACAGCATCACTCATTTCTTCAGCCTGTTCGACTTCAGTGAGACAGTATGGCACTCCAAGAAGCTAGCATCATCTTTAAGCAACATCTTTACACAACAGCAGGTTTTCTTCTTTTCTCAGAAACTTTTCTGGCATGCAATACACTGTGACAAGCCAACCTCCAAGCATTACCACTTTTATGACCACCAGTGTACAGGGGAGAAGGAAGAAGACTACAACCAACATTACTTCGGTGCTTGTGATTTAGTTAATCCTTCCTTTCAGAAGTTGCTGGAGACTGTTGCCTGGGTCAGGATCTCCTCGGCTGGCTCAAATTAGACTACAGGTTGGAAAATCATGATGCACATCTTACATTTTAATCCAAACTTTTTACACTTGTTATAATAAAATTAATAAGTTTGCAGCTTACTATCTCAAGTTGCAAAGTACCTTTCTTTAAGCCATAAGTGCTGGCTGGACACCCATACTCAGGGATGTTTTGACAAATTGGAACATCTTCAAAACAGAGGATGCTGAAAGTGTTAGAGGCAATTCTGATGGGCAAATTCAACGAAGATGCCTGAACTGAAACCAGTGGGGTTTGCCCATACCTTCTGGGAGGCATAATGCAGAAGATCTAAAAATAGAGCTGTAAAGCCCCAGGGTTCTCTAGTGAATATCTCTAAGTGAGCTAACTCTTCAGCTTTCACCCTTGTTTGGCTGTTTCCAACAGCTGAGGGAAAACTGAAAAGCAAAATAGCATGGGAGTGGCCAACTATAACAGCAGTCTCAAGTGGTGTGAGTTAAATGGGAAGGAATCAGAAGGAGACATACTTTAGTTAACAGAACTGCATTTCCCAACTCTGTAACTTTATACATCTGATCTAAAGTTTGCTCATTTGGTGCTGTCACTAAAAATAACATTCCTTTTCGTATCTGATTAGTGTGAGGAGAGAGAGAACATTCCTCCACCAACTAGAAATCCTGCAAGAGGAAGCAGAAATATCAAAATTCAAAAATATCACACCTCCATCAGCATTGCCACCACACATCAGAAGGGGAAATTGCAAAGGTGTTTTCCTCTTTTCATGTACCTCAAACGCCAACGGCTTCCAATGTGTGTAAGCTATCCTGAGAGGCTGTGCCATCCTTCAGTTGTTGAAAGCCCCAGCTTATACAGTGACACCGTAGCTCTCACACCCTGCACAGAAGACCAAGTGGAGGTTTATATCTAAAGGGGCAAATGGCCTTTTTTCAGTGGGTTTCTATAGACATAAAGATCATAAACATCTTCTCTCCCGCATTCAGGCCTCCTCAGCTATTCTGAAGACAATAGTTCATCTATCCTACCGTTGAATTATGTCTGTGTGAGGCAAGTCTGAGTTCTCACAAGTCTGAGTGAAACTCTGGCTGCTCTGAGGGACTTACCTATCCCCAGACTAGAGATAATTTCAAGGTCTTGAAAGTTACTGGCTTCTAATATTGCTTGTGGCAGCTTCAGGGTGAAGGGCAGCAAATCCCTGTAAAAAGAAACACAGTGAAAAACCAACAAAAGAACAAACCCCCATGATTGTTAGGAACTTCAGGTTTTACTGTTGGTTTTAGTGATTGAATTGCCTCGCAATTTCAGCCCTGTTCTGCAAAGTCCTGGACGTTGTCAAAGGGAGATCTCACAGCCAGTAAGGCATCATGAACATTGTTGGGTTGCTCGGATTTCACAAGAGGTCACCAGCTCCTGCGGTGACACGCCACGCCACGCCACGCCACGCCACGCCACGCCACGCCACGCCACGCCACGCCACGCCACGGGCTTCATGCTGTGCCTTGGCTTCCTTCTCCAAAAAACAGAGAGAACACCTCTCACCTCAGGGGAAGCCACAAGGGTTGAAATACCTTCCCATGAAAAGTGAGGTGTTGCAAATTGCAATTACTGTAATTAAGAAAGCTATTCTTTCAGGTGTGGAGGTGTTTTGCAGTCCTTTTACCTGCTGGTTGCCCCTCTCTCCCCAGCCTTCTTTGTCTTTGAAATATCAGTGTAAGCGTAAGGCATTGAGACACGGCGGGACACAGTGGGGTTAGAGCAGACACTAGCCCCTGGGTGAAGAGGCAGACAATGATGAAGTGCTGCATGACACTGAGAAAACATACATATCCATTTAGTCTCTGCTTTCAGACTTCTCACTGCTTGGTTTCTGGAAAGATGCTGTATTTTTACAGAAAAAAAAAGATGCAGTTTCTCAGTGGATGTAAGTTAGGTTTCACTGAAATGCACCCTAAGTCTCAAATAATTTAATTTAATTAACTTAATTGTTCAGGTTTGCCTCTTGCCCAATGACAATTTGCTAAACCTGTTCCTATCTCAATTCCTGTTGTCAGAAGGACTAGAAAAGCCAGTAATAATAGCCCCTAAAAGGTAGCAAGGAATGGCGCAGGGTCATTTTACACATTAAAAAGTTTAACAAAAGTTAAAGTTGCCCTTATGAACAGATACATATCTTACTGATGCACAGTGTACTCCGTGGGTTCTCTGTGCACCACTGAGCACTCCGTTGTCACACGGTTTGACATAAATGGCTGTGATCCCAGGATTATTTTTTTTTCATGGCAGATATCAGGCTTAAAAGAGGAAGAGGGTTCACGGACCTTCTGCTTTCTTTGTTAGTTATTATTATATGCATGAGCAGTTCCCTTCTATTTCTTTTTCTTTTTTTTTTTTTTTGTAGAAAAATACATCTAAAAATCAGGAAACAGTAAGAGATTACCCTAGTAGAAAAACATCTGGTTTTATTCATGGGGCAGCAGCTTGCAGAGAAGCCACCAAGTCACCCATTACCTACAGGTGTTGGTTTTGTGATTTAAGGTAATCCAGCCAGGACAAACTTTCTTTTGAAAAGAGCCTGTCAGTCCTGATAAGCTGTTTCCAGCTATTTATAGATGACTATTTACTGCATCCCTGAGAACTGGGCTCTCCACGCACCGTTACGGAGAGCTCCTACAAGCCGCCAGCAAATGGTGGGCCAGCGCCTAAGCAGCCTTTTTATTACATGCTTCTCTCAGAAAATTATTCCCTGTTTACCATGTCTTTTGACAGTGACCTGAGAAATCACATGAACCATCTGAATGTGTATTTGACACTCAGAAGTAACATCTATAACAGGATCTGTCAAAAGCTTTTCTTTCTTTCTGCGACTCTTTCTTAAGCCATAATCCTTTCTGCAGGAAAGCAGAAGCGAGTGGGTTTTCCCTCCCACAAGTCGTTTGACTAGAAATACCCAATTCTTGGTTGCATCTGGGCTCTTCTTTGCTCCTTTGGTTAGGCAGAAATCTTTATATGGGGCCAGGGGTTAATTTTCGTCCATTCTATAGGGTGTCTACACATCTAGATGGCTAAATGCCTTTTCATTGATGGGGGTGAGACAGAGCGTGGTCCCCTGTGTGTGGGCAGGAGTCCTGGCCCAGCAGCGTTGAACGCAGCTGGCTGCAGAAGCAGCCCCAAAATAGTGCGAATATTACCATCTGGGTAAACTGCAGCACACTGTATCATACCATAGATAGACCATTCCTACTGCGTGACCTAACCAAGTCACTAGCACGACTGACTTGTAAACATATCCTCAATCTCCTTTCCCCTCTTAAATGGGAATAACTACTTTAAGAGTCCTCTGAGTTTCTATAGGGAAGGTGAAAAGTTTACATCCAACTCAAAACAAGGCCTGCTGCAACAAGAATGGGGTAAGGAGGTGGTAGAGGCATCACTGCAGTGTGCTCGGCACAAACACACGGATTAGAGGAGGCTGCAGACAGGTTTAATTACACAGAGGGACGCATAAGCAGCTGATCAAATCTTGCACTAATGAAAATGACCTTACAGGTCTTTCCCATCCCTGTGCCTACTACATTTGGTATTTCTGCGCTGGGCAAACAAACAAGGTCTGTTCTTTATCACTGTATTTTAGTTTTAAATTTTGGCTAAGGAAAAGAAATTGTTTCAGGACTACTACTATGGTCTGGCCCCATCATAGATACTAACATCTGAAATACCTCCTGGTCTGGCAGGAAACCGGAGAAAACAGCGGGGGCCATGCTGTGACTGGGAACTGGGGAAAGGCAGTCCAGCAGGGAGAGTGAAGAGACCCCTCCGTGGCAGCAATGAATCCAACTCACCTACTGACACAGTAGAAGGCAACCAGTTTGAAGACATCCTCAAATACAAGGACAGATCCTTCCAGGTACAGGACTGATGAAAAACAACAAAAAAAAGACAGTCAGCAACTGTTTTCTTTGCACTGTATGGTAAAAAAAAAGCTGGTGGGTTTGGCTCACACATCTTGTATTCTGCAATCGTCCAGTATTTGCATGGACTAATATGAAGAAGCATAAAGAACTGGCTTCAGACGGCCAAACGCAATGAGATTCTTCAGGGAAAGACTGGGGAAGAAATGTCTCAGCCTAGATTTCTGAACGGTTAGCTCAAGATATCAGAGTGTTGTGACAGTAATAGAAACAATGGGAAGAAAAAAACCCAGGTCACAGCCAAAGGGTTCATTACAAGCACATCTATTTCTAAGGACGCGCACATCCGCAACACATATGGGGTTGACCTTGAGACTCTCCATGCCGGAATCTGGTTTGGTCTGGATGGACAAAGCGCTTTGAAGTAAAAAAAACAGACATTACTATTTCATTACTATGTGTGTGGGCTCTGACCTGGGTCACGCAAGCGGTGTGAGCACAGCCTATTTGTATCTCCCCTGTCTTCTCCCTCCCATTGTGTTACACAGCGACAGCACCTTCCTTTAAGTGGCAAAATACAATCCACACCACATTGCAGAGTTCTTCCCAATGACCTCCTTTATAACAGTACGCTATGGCATTGTGTAGCCCAAATCTCACCTGTTATTAGAGAGCTTTTGGCAGCTAAGCTAGAAAAAAATCATCAGCCAGTGGAGAAAATCTCACATTGACCAATAACCCAACACAGAGAGAAAGAGATGGATCTGCAGGAGAGAAGTGTCCATCTTTGCTTCTGCTTTATAGTCTCACAAATTGTCTGTGCCAGTGTGTACACAACACGCAATCACAAAGACTGACAGACTAAAGGAAATCTGCAGTGGTTTCTCAAAAATTCCTGCTTACTGGTGGTAGAGAACTGGAGTGGAGCTGCACCATTCCTGCCACAGGAGCACGCCAGGAGTCCTTGGGGAGCAGCACCAGCTCAAACCCTCATAGCGGTGCCCACAGCCGCTCTGCGTCTTCCTTTGCTCTGTTTTCTGGGGCACAGGTCCGAGCTGTGGACAGGAATATCAGCTATCGTGATTCAGCTGCCTCGCTCTGCCACGATTCACAGCCCCGTGAAGGATCTCCAGCTCCTTGCCCTGCCTGCCTGGTTGTTAGCTCCCCGGCAAAGCAGGGCCTCCAGCACCTGCAGAAGGGAGACATCCACCTGGCTCTCCTCTCCCCCAGCTCCGTGCTCTGGCTCTTGTTCTCCAGCCAGCAGAGAATCCCACTGGAAGGAAATGCTCAAGCTTGTCTCTCGTTCAGCGTCACAGTTCGTTCCCCAAACAAGGCGTTTCCTCCTTCTACTTCTCCCTTTCTCCTCGCCCAGGCCCTGCAGGTTGCTATTTTGGGCTGAATACACCAATGTAGGCATTTTTTAAAGAGGTTTTCAGAAGTCATTCCTAGCATCAATTTGTGTTGGATCAGCACGGACAGATGAACCTCAGTGCGTGCGCTGATACCAGACTGCAACGTGGAATTCAAAATATACTTTAAGCAAAGCAATCCCTTTCCCTTGCTTTTTTCCCACAACTGGAAAAATAAGTGTTCGGCAAGTTTTTTCTTTTTCCTTAGTAAGAATCATGTTTCAGCCAGGGATTTTCATTAAACATCTACCACGAACAATTTCTATAGTTTGAAATCCATCTGCTTTGCAGCTCTGACACAGGAAATGAAAATAAAGACAAACCCCGGTGCTGTTCCAGAGAATGAACCAAACCCCAAGAGCCTGAACTCACTCGAATCTCTAGCAATTAAATAAAGCCCTTTGTGTGGAGGATGGTTTTAAGGACTTTTTTTTTTCTGGTAAGAACCACATGTTCACTTTGGCACCCCGAGTTGCAGGTGTACGTAAGAGAGCAGGCTGCACCTGTACATGTTTACAGCCGTGAGCACATCACTTGGACTGGAACTAATGATTGTTTCTGTGCCAGGAAGCGCTGCCATTTGGGACCTTGAATTTTAGACAAAGAATATTAGTTCGAGCCCCTCAGTGTCGGGAGTATCCACGTAGAAGTGCCTTGTTACCATACAGCTAGTCTTCCTCCCATATATAGTTAAATAGCATAAAACACCACAAATCACCAGGAATTATATAGCTAAAGCAGTCTAGACACAAAAGCTGCTGGAGCTTAAGGACAGGAGTTTTCAGCAGGCGGTATACAGAAACCGGACTGTCCCCGGTCTGCTCTGAGAGGTCATAGAAGGTAACAAAATCAAGTGTATTTGTCAGCAGGTTGGAATTCATCATAACGAGACCCACAGCTCTGCTGGGACATTTTTGGGTGGCCTGCAAACAAATAAGACTAGAAGAACACTGCTTTAGTATTCAAGCACCATCAGGACCAAGCACCCTGCCCAAAATTTATCCTGAACAGTGACAGTGTCAAGCAGCCTGCGCAGGGCTACTCTGGCCCCTGGGACTCACTCCCAGCACAATGCCCATGAGGAAAGCCTTGCGGTCTCCTGTGGGGAAAGTCTTCCTCGAGAGAACCTAACACTTTTTCCTTAACCTGTTTTTATCCAGACACCTGCTGACCGCCAGCAGGCATCACTGGTAAGTGGTGCTTCCCGACTGCTTTGCTGTGGCAGATGGGTGGCAGAGGATGGGTACGGTATGGGAACATCTTCTGTGGGAATGGCTGTCATTTGCCGGTGGAGACCATTAAGTGGGTCCTGCTGCATATTTCTAGTTCTTAGAAAGATGCAAAAAATAGCAAGTCTGTGCAGCTAAAAGGGTTCTGCTGACTGTTGGGGACAACGTACCTCTCCCCCAGTGCCATTACTGCCCTCAAGGCACCCTGCTGTGGCAAGACAGTCAGGAAGAGGTACTTTTCTCTGGCAGTGGACATGCTGTGGATAGCTGGGGACATTTCACTGACATGAGCACTGCTGCTCAGGGACGGATCATGGTGTTGCCATTTATAGGAACTCGTCACTTCTGCAAAAGCTACAAGCAGACACTTTTCTGCAAGACTGCTGTAATCCTGC